TAAGTTTTCTTCTGAATAAAAGTGCACATTTAAGCTCAGCAAAGCAAAGTATGGATTAACATTATATTACTGCACAGATTCAGTCAAAATTGCTGGAAATCTTTTGAGAAAAGAGCATTTCTTTTAAGAAAAATATTTCCATATATAATTGAAAATGTTGTTTTGATTTGGAATTCTTCACATTTTCAAAATACATTGCTGAAAATCAAAAAATGCTCTATGAAATCTTTTTTTTTTTCTTTTTTCCAATTTTGGGATTGAATAACTTTAAAATACCTGAAAAATCTAAAAAATATATATCTCTTGATTTTATTGTTAAGTTGATTAAAGGAAAATTAGTTTGTGAAGGTATATTGTATGCGGTTTGTATTTAAGTATTTGTATTTAAGTATTTAAGTTTCAGGATAAGGCTAACTGCACTTTCAAGATCACATATTTACAAACCTTGGCTGAAATCCTGAAACTGGTTTAAAAAGCAGGGAATTTCAAAATCAGTGGATATATTCTTAAAGGTAGAATATTTTGGTTTCCTAATGTCAAGCTTACCCAACAATGAGAAAGACTGGAAACACACTTAGAAATAAATGCGGAAAAATAGTTTTCCTTAGATTACCACTTGACTTCATAAATTTCCTAATTCATAAATATTCAAAAGAATGTAGCTTTCTGAGTAAAATAAACTAAAATAGAATAAAACAAAATGAAACAAAACAGAACGAAATGAAATGAAATGAAATGAAATGGAAATAAATAATAAACACCTGGAAAAAAAGCAGACCTGGAGACAGAGTGATAACCGCAGATCAATACGGCCGAACACTCAATTTTCAACCTACATCGTCATGGAGAATTTGCCTTCTAATAAGCATGACAAAGCATGTTTCCATTTGTTAAAAAAATGAAATGCTTATGGAGAAGCAGAAATATGTACATACATATTTGAATAGTTAAATAATATAGAGAGCAACTATCTGCAGAGAAGTAACCCAGTAACTATGGCATGTAAATTAAGGGCTTCTGAGGATATTGCTTCATATGAAATATATTCAGCTTCTGTTTGTTTTTTTTCTAGTGGCCAATACCACAACTTGATTTTTGTAGACAAAGGTCAAAGAGAAGTTCACTTATTCTAACATTCTTGCACAAAATAATCTATTATAAAGATTTTTTGCAGATTGATTTGGGCCCTGAATAATACAGGCAAAGTATATAAGAATATATTTACTGATGCCGTCAATGATGTTTATTCTTTCAAAACTATCTTGGCATTGCAGAGAAGATAGAAGTGGAAACGAAACAAATTTAAACAAAAAGTTTAAAGTCCTCTGTCAACATGTGTAAACTCTGAACACACACAAGGAGCAGTTTTGCTGAATGGTATGAATGTTTTTTTTCTTTCTAGTGCAGAAAGGTCTAAGGCTGTGTCTAAAACATATAGCCACAATGTCGTACATTCCAAATAACTTCACGTTGACGTTAATGGGAGATTTTACAAAAATAACTTGTTTTTCATGTGACTTTGTCTGAAGGATTTGATTTCCTGTAAATAAAGGATTTAGGAGTTGAAAAGGCTGGAAATTTGGTTGGGTGTTTCCTTCTAACAGCAACATAGTGTATATAGATTCTTGCATTTCTGTATGTTTTTTTCAGAAACCTTGGAAATAATATTTTCCAAACTAATCTTGAAGGTACTGTGTTATCTTAGGCTGCTGTAGTGTGCTGTGCCATAAATTGCTAGAATGGCTTTTACACCAGAAATTAAGAATTGCTTTTTATCTTTTCTGTTCCTATTTAGAATATAATGTGTTTTTTTTAAAAAAAAAGCAGTTACAATATGTTTTACACAGGAAACGATACAGGATTAATCTAAGGAAATGATAAACCTTGAATTATGTAAGCAGTGTTTAGAGTACAGAGGACCAAGTCTAGGCGCAGAGAGAAGGGTGAATTCAAGATGGAACTTAGTATGATCTTATCACTTGAATTCATGTCTCTTTTTAACCTAGGTAACTTTGAACGCACACCTGTCATTCCTCAGAAGCATGAATATGGTATAAGGTGGAGCGTGAATATGGTATAAGGTGATTATTCGGTTTGTTTAACATTTCATATGATTTTGCAGCGTTTGTGCCAGAGGGTGTTTAGGCAAGGTGCAAAGCCTCTTCGCAAAAGCCTCTTTGGGGGCAGAACAAAATCAAGCTCTATGGGTTCAAGTCAAGCCATATCATGCCTGCAAATCCTGATAATAGCCTAAGCCATATCATGCCTGCAAATCCTGATCCGCTAGCCCAAATGAGAGCCCTGACCCATCTTTATTTACAAATTATGAGGCAGACTAAAGGAATAGGAAGATTTTTTAAAAGCTGAGCCCCTTAGGCAGATAAATTCCTGTGGGGCTTTATCTATGATTCCAGCTTTGCGGAGGGGACTATCTCCGAAGTGGAGGTCGGTGCCTCCATCCGAGAGGGGATGTGACTTGCCTTCATCCTCACACTTCCCTGCAGGCTAATCCCTGAAAAATCCCCATCCGAGGTGCCAAACTCTCCCCGCTCACTGTGTGGGAGAGTCAACACTTGGCTGGTGTGGTGGATTCACCCTCTGGGACCAGCAGCTCGCTGCAACATTTAGCATGATGACATGTAAAATCTTTTTGGCTGAATCTGAAATGATGGGCTCTGGGGAGCTTTTGAGCTTCTGCATTCAACCAGACACATCAATCCCTGCCCTAGGAACTCTTCATCCTCTTCTCTCTCTTCCTTTCTGCCTCCCCACCAGCTGCCTCCGTGTCTGCATGGAGCAGCCGGGGATGGGCTAGAAAAGGGCCAGGCTCCAGCCATCTCCAGAGGCATAAAGACTTGCCGTGTGTTGTAACCTGCGCTCATTGCTCTGCTTTGGTCCATATTGCTCTCCTTCGAGCCCAGTTTAGCAGCTGAAAGGAGATTTTGGTACAGTACAGCATCTCCTGATCCAGTCTTTCCTCTTCCTAGTACCAAGCTTAGTTAAACAGATCCTGCTTGAAAAGTGAAGTAGAATTGCTTGGTTTAACTGTGACTTTGTGGGCAATTTGAGGCTTATTTCTACCAGTCATTTCAGTATTGAACAATAATTACTGCATGATTATTTTATTGGGCTTAATATCCAGCAAGACCATAACAGAGGAGTGATACACAGACTGAGAGTAGCAGGACTTTGAAGGGTTGATTTGGAACATGAGAGGTGATTCATGCAACAGATGTTGATGCCTTTAGAAAAGTTCTCCTTTATAGCTATCTGAGACTTACTCTTACTCTGCGTGTGTATGTGTGCGTGTGTGTTTGTGAAGATTGCTGCCAAAACTGTAAATATCTAGCATTTCTGAATTGCAAGCTACATCTGAAAAATACATCTAAGTGTGGTTATGGTCAGAAAAGAGAATACAAAAATAGCAATTTCTGTGTATTTGGTCATGTCTGCTTACTTTTCCAACCAAAATAAAGCTTTTCAAACTTTTACTCGTGCAGGCAGCCTGGAGCCAATACATTGTTGGTAAAGTGTGCAATAACTCTTTTCTTCTTGGATATTGTCTACAGGAATGTTATGCTACTTTCCTAGTGCAGCACCACACTGATTTGAAAGTCAGGTTATCGAGGCAAGTTTGCAAAACTGCCAAGAAAAACAGAAGCCAAACCAAGCCAAACCAGAAAAAGGACAACAACGAAAAAAGGAACCTTAAGCCCCAAAAAGAGAAAAAGAGAAAGAGATTTATAGGTCTGAAAGCATGCCCTCAGGAGGTCAAAAACAATAACAGAATATTCTTGCATAAACCCTACAACTTTTGGTTATCTTATTTAACTCTTTTTTCCTCCTTTTTTTTTTAAAAAAAAATTCTCAGTTTGCAGACTGGAACTTGATATGAGAATCTTTTTAAATGAAATAGGCATGAAATGCATTTTTTCCAACCTTCATATTAAATTTCATTTCAAGGTAAAGATTGATTGAATTGAAGTAAAATATCATGCTTCGGTTCTAAAATACATGGGGCAAGAAGACAGAGGAAAAAGGATCTGACTACATTTCCGTGTATATGATGCGGGACCAAAGGGCAATGTCAGTTCCCAGATGCAGTTGCAAGGCTTCCCAGATCCAATTGCATAGAAATATAGGCAGGCAAATGCCCTTTTTCCCTTTCTAATCTCCCTCTGTCCCTTGTCCCCTACTCCCTGTGCCCTGGTTTTTGCTGCAGGGGAATACTTAGAAGGGCACATGTAAGAGGTGGCAGTGTCCTCCTGCAAGTTCCCGAAGTGGGCAAGTGCATCAGCAGGACTATGGCATCGCACCCTGCCCTGCATATCATATGCAGCCAAGGAAGCTTATGCCAGAGGCTTGAGCTCTCAGGCAGAATTACAAGTACCTCATGAATTATACACAGGAATATGTATTAATAGGAAGAATCCTTACAGCAAAATATTTTCTCCATTAAGGAGCATCCTACTCCTCATGAGGCACATCATTGGAAATTTTCCCCAAATTCAAGAGAAATCTGACTACTAAGAGAAGTTGCTGGCAAAAACAAACAAACAAACAAACAAAACCCCCACAAACCCTAGCTGACTTTAATAGTATATGATTTTGTGCTTTATTAAAAAAAAATCATAAAGGTCACTCATCACGTGCATGGACATCAAGTCAAATTCATCTGGTCTAACAGAATGTGGCTATTTTGGGTTTAGAACGATGTTATGATTACTTTTGGTGTTTGTTACTTATCTATATGTCTGTCTTAGAGAGAACAACAGAGAAAAACTAAGTAAGAAATCCAAGAAACCTAGAGGAGAAAAGGAGATAGAGTCCGCCAAGCGACGCCAGCCCAGCTGATACTTGACCTTTAGATTCCCCAGAGTTGCCACAATTTTAGGGAAGTGGCACTTGTCAGATGGCCAGAAAGTGTGATGCCAGCTGGGGGTGAGGGGAGGCAGGGGGCGGGTGCGAGGACATGTGCCAGACTGTGTGCCCAGCGGGTGATGGGAGATGCTCCTCCTGGCTGGAGGGAAGATGAGTTTCCTGGGACAGGTGGTGAGTGGCAAGGGGAGCCCAGGGCTGCTGCTCCTGGCTGCAGAGGGGTGTGTGTAGTGGGGTGAATGGAGTTGGGTGATCCAGGGGTGTTTGGAGTGGGGTGAAAAAAGGGACAGCTGGAGCAGGGTGATCCAGGGGTGGCTGGAGCAGGATAGGAGCTGGAACAGGGGTGGCCAGAGTGGTGCGGTAAGGGCATGGCTAGAGTGGGGTGATCATCCATGGGTGGATGGAGCAGGGTGATCCAGGAGTGGATGGAGTAGGGTGATCCGTGGGTGGCTGGAGGAGGGCAGTATTGGGGTGACCCAAGGGAGTGATCAGGGAAGTGAGGTGATCTGGGGCTGGCTGGAGCAGGACGATCCAGGGATGGCCAGAGCGGAGTGATAAGGAGATGGTTGGAGCAGGATGATCTGGTGGTGGCCGGAGCAGGACGATGCAGGCTGGCAGGGCCCGGAGCCCCCTCCTTGGCTGCAGGGCGGGAGAGGAGGCAGCTTCTGCTCCGTGCTGGGGAGGGGAGGGCGAGAGGAGGCAGAGAGGGGATGTTGTTAAACAGTTTCTTACCGTAAGAGGGAGTTGGGACCCAGATCTTTCCAGTTAATCACACAACAAACTTAGATCATCGCAATAAAAAGCAGCGCGGCTCTCACTGCCTCCTCTAGTGACCGCCCGGGCGCGGGGTCCTTCCGAGGAGCCATCTCCGCTCGCGCTGCCGCCAGCCGCCGGGGGGGCCAGCGG